TCTCCCCCAGCAGTAAGTAAGCTCCACAGGGCAGGGATCTCGGTCTGTTCTGTTCTCTACTGCAGTCCCGCAACCTAAAAGAGTGCTCGGGATACAGAGTAGGTGCTTAATAAATATTTGCGGAAAAAGTGAGTGTGACAAGAACTGTGTTGGGCGTAAAGAAGAGAATCTGTAGAACTTGAAAGAAGAGGAATGTTGTCTGAGTGGTCGCTTCTCTCTCTACCCCCGCTGCATATTTATGGTCTTTTGAAATCCTTGGTGAGGAGGAAGGGGTTCTTTGTATCCAAGTTGGTATCCAGTTCTCACGCCCATGTGGACTCAGGCACCCTCAACGTATCATGTCAAAGCCTTCGCTAAGTCTGAGGAGAAGATCTGACTCAGATGCTGTGACAGAACCATGTTTGGGTAGATCCCAAATGACTTCTGGAGTCCAGACCCCCCTGGGTCCCTCTTCTTTATTTGTGTTTGGCTGTGCTGTGGAAGAATCTCTACATGCCATTCAAAACCCAATAATGGTTTTGCTGAAAACGCCCATCCAGACTATCTACTTCCTCTTCACCGGAAAAGGAACTCCGAAGGCTCAGAGAGGGCAAGTAGTTAACCCATGTTCACACAGACTGCAGTAGAATCAGGACAGAAACCAAAGCCTTCTAATCCCCATGGTAGAGTGTATGCTTCCACCCTAAGCTATCCGCCTACCTTCCAGAGTTGAAGAATTTAACTGTGAGGAAGGAAATAACTGAGCATCCCAACTCAGCTTGTATTAGACTACAAGAAACCAGGTGGGTTAGATCACAGATTTCTGGGGCCTCTGGTTTGCCTTAAAGCACCATATATTTGACATAGAAGGTGCCCTGGAGGACATCTCACCCAAGTGCCCTGCTGTAAGATGGGCAAATAGGAGTTCAGAAAGTCACACAGGAAGGGAGTTAAAAGGGTTAGGGCCAGACCTCCAGCCCCTGCCCTCAGTTTAGGCCATTTTTAATCTCATCTTACCAACCTGATCAGCAACTACAGATGTGGGAAGAAAAAACCTTAAGTGTCCTTTTGCCCAAATGCCCATTTTCCAGATGAGGAGACTGAGGCTGAATGGACCAGGTGAGTGTCAAAGTCTGGAGCCTAGGTCTACACTTCTTTTCCCCACTGCCATCCTCACTGGGGAGACAAGCAGGGCCTCCAGGCCATACTTTCAGGGCTGCTGAGGATACTACCTAATGTCCACGGGCCTTGGAGTCTGGAAGATGTGGATTCCAGTCCCAGCTCTGCTCCGTGCCAGCTGGGTGACCTCAAGTGAGTCACTGCACCACCTGGGCCCACAGTTTCCTCGAGTTCTTAAGTGTCTTAGAAATGTCAAAATATGACCAGCTCTGTGAATTGCCAAGCACAGAAGAGCCACTCTGTGTCCATGTCCTTCTTTCCTATGCCTTTTGCTCTCCACCTTTTATCCCATTGGGTAGTGAGATCTTCATTCCTTTAACGTAACTATTTCTGTTCGTGTTAAAATGGGAACAAAGAAGCGTCTGTAAGTCAGGGGGCGTTTGAACCGGGCCTTGAAGGATGAGTGGGAATTTTCTACGTAGACAAGCGGGGGAGAGAATTCCAGGATGATAGAATCACTTATACAAAAGCATATAGGTCCGAGAAAAGGAAACCCTCACAGGAGCGTGAAGGGGAGGAAACCTGGGGTGGGGTGACTTGGCTGAGATGAGAAAAAGAAAGGTCCCTGTGGAATAGCTGTGGGAGGCCTGGAATGCCACACCCAAGAGACTTCGTGGTGGGGAAGGATGGGGAAGGATGTGATGTGTTTCAGTGGAAAAATGATGAATTTCTTTGAAAGGTCACTCACTCGGGGCAGCAGCTAGAAAGATGAAGGGTTGGAAAGAGAGAAGGAGGTGAAGCAACCACTGAAGAGAGTTTTGGCAAAAGCCCAGCTGGTATACAAAGAGTCCAGGGCTTAGAAGGCCAGGGTGGAGGGTGAATGGCTGAGGCAGATGGATAGGGCCTCCCGCAGGCTGCCTGTCCCCTCTGCACACCCCTCAGTGTGACCTCAGAGGTGATGTCTCAAGCAGAGGGCTGTGCCCCACTCCCCAAGCCAGCAAGAGATGCCCCACAAGTGCCCTCCTTCCCTCATCACCCTCTCCCCTCGCGCTTCCTGGTACCTGGCAGCCAGCCTTCCCTAGCTTTATTTTTTTTTCTTTTCCTGCAAAATACCTAGCATCTCTTCTTTGTTATTTCAAAGTACCGTCCGTCCAACAGAGCTCAGACTGGCATCCCTCATCCTCCCACCAGTCTCCCAAGCTCCTCCGTCGTCCCTCCAGAAACCACGGCACAAGCACTCTTTACACACAGCCTCCTCCTCAACGGAGCCCGTATCTCCATCTGGTTTTCAGCTTAAAATAAGTTTCTAAAAACCCTCATCTACAGACAGCCCCCCTCTTTGCAATAATATCCAGGTTGTATTTTCAGCCATTGTCTCTTTAGACCAGGGACTGCATTTGATTAAATCACGTGGTATGTGTATTGCCGACCCCCTCCCAGCCTGCATCAGCCTTTGATGGGAACTATCTTATCTGTAATCGGTTTACTGGGTTATGGACCCAAATTTCCTCTGCAAAACATCAGGCTGGGAGGCTTCGCCCACCCCTCCTCCTAGGAATGCAGCTCGGCTTTGATAAACCTGAGATTCCATTCCCTAGAACTTCAGAGTCCAACAGAGCCTTGGTTCCAATCCAACACTCACCATCCCAGGGCAAAGCTAATTTTAAGTTTTATTTCAACACACTGTAAGGTGACCACGGTGTTCAGCACGACGAAAGAGATGATCTCAACAAACAATGATTGTAAACCTACAATGTTCCAGCTGTTTAAGATAAGCATAGGCTGACTTCCTGGGGCTCACATCTGGGTGGGGGCCAGGAGAAAGACTGAACACTAAATCGTTTACCATTCGATGTGATAAGTGCAATATTATGAGTATGGGAAAGGTATTCAGCTGACTTGGTGATACCTGCTCTGTGTTTTTTGTTAAAATGCTGGGCTTCCCTGGTGGCGCAGTGGTTGAGAGTCTGCCTGCCGATGCAGGGGACACAGGTTCGTGTCCCAGTCTGGAAAGATCCCACATGCCGCGGAGCGGCTGGGCCCGTGAGCCATGGCCGCTGAGCCTGCTCATCCGGAGCCTGTGCTCCGCAACGGGAGAGGCCACAACAGTGAGAGGCCCGCGTACCGCAGAAAAAAAAAAAAACAATGCTAGTGAAGTTATGGTAAGATTTATAAGAGAGCAATGAGAAAACACACTCAAAGAATCAGAATAGCGAGCATAACATCCCCCCCCACCCCACCCCCATAATCACGCTCCTAGGAATTTATCCTAAGTTACAACTAAAAAAAAAGAAAAGATAAAGGATGTTCAATATATTGTTTTCTAATAGAAATGGTCATTGAGATACATCAGCTCAAGGATATAGTATGTAGTTATTTAAATTAATTATGGAGACTAGTCATTAGAACTCTATTTGGGATCTAATTTCAAGCAAAAGAAGGAACACACAAAGCTACCTTTAATAACTGCCTGTGGGGACTTCCCTGGTGGTTCAGTGGTTAAGACTCCACACTTCCAGTGCAGGGGGCACAGGTTCGATCCCTGGTCAGGGCACTAAGATTCCACATGCCGCGGGGTGTGGCCAAAAAGTGTGCCCAAAAAATCCGAAAGCTGCCTGTGGATTCTGCACTCAATGTCCTCACCTTCTACTGGGTTTCGCTTTGAACACCGGTAGCCTGAAGGGTCCTTCTCTCCATGCTCCCATTCAACTCTCAGAACAGCCCTGTGATGTTGATATTGTGCTCCCCATCTTACAGATAAGGTAATGAGGCTCAGACAGGCTTAAATGACAGGCACGCAACATCTAAACCAAGGAGCTCTAACCTAGGTCTCCTAACTCCACATCCAGGGCTCTTTCCTGATTTCCATCATCTAGCCAGGTCTGAGGACCAGGAAGAACCACTAATGCAATGGGTGGGCAGTGAGATACTGGGACCATCTGTCTGCTGCTGGAAAACACCATGATGAAGGCCACAACTCCTCACAAGAACACCTGGATGTGTCTTTGTCCCAAGACGTCTGAGCGGGCCAGTGGGGATGGAGAGGGCGCCTTTTCCAGCCAAACCGCAGCTGCTAAAGACGAGCTTGCTGAGAGGAAAAGCATGTAACCAACATGCACCAATTTATGCAACTATATCAGGGCTAGGCAATGGGAGGCAGGGACAGAGGGACAGAAATAACCATCTTTGCTGCCCCGTTGCTGAGTGACCACCAAAAGCAGGCATTTAAGAGTGTGTTCATCCATTCATCCGTTGATGGACACTTAGATTGTTTCTACATCTTGACTATTGTGAATAATGCTGTAATGAACACTTAGGAGCACAGATATATCTTTGAGATCCTGATTTCCATTCTTTGGGACAAATACCCAGGAGTGGACTTGCTGGATCATATGTAGTTCTATTTTTAATTTTTTGAAGAACCTGCATACTATTTTTCATAGCAGCTGCACCATTTTACATTCCCAACCACAAGGGTTCCAATTTCTAAATGCATACAAAGGAATATTATTCGGCCTTGAAAAATAAGGAAATCCTGCCATGTGAGACAAAATGAACACAATAAGCAAGCCACAGAAAGACAAATACTGTATAATTCCACTTATACAAGGCATCTAAAATAGTCAAACTCAGAGAAGCAGAGAGCAGAATGGTGGTTTCCAGAGGCTGGGGGAGAGGGAAATGGGGAGTTGCCATTCAACAGGTATAAGGCTTCAGTTAAGCAAGACAAATAACTTCTAGAGCTCTGCCATACGACATTGTGCCCATAGTTAACAGTAACATATTATACACTTCAAACTTTGAGAGTAGATCTCATGTTTTGTTCTTATCATACACACATAAAAACCAGAGTACGTACATCCGAATTAGGTAGACAGCTAGACACCTGTGCTTACCTCTGTTTTCCCCTTCACTTGCTGTGGTGACCTTGGGCAAGTCCATCAATCGCTCTGTGTCTCTATCTCCTCATCTGTAAAATGAGAATAACAGTACTTACCTCATAGAATTATCATGAAGTTCAATGGTTTTCTGATATTAATAAGCTTAGAACAGTTCCTAGAATATACTAGGACAGACATCATCTTAAGTGCTGGATATCCACTTCTCAACTTATCCTCAAGACTCCCTGTAAGGAAGAAATTGTGATTTCCATCTTACAGGTGAGGAGACTGAGGCTGTGGGAGCTTAAGGTTATATGCAGCAGCACATGCATGAGGGACCAGCGAATGGCATCAACGGTAGGCCCTGCCAAAGTATGGAGAAGGAAGAGATCCTGCTGGTTATGTAACCCTGGAAGGCTTCCTGAAGGAGGTGGCATGGCATCTGAGCTTTAAAGAACATGGAAGATGTGAACCAATGTTTTGAGTTGCTGATGGTGGGGACAAAGCACAGTGTTGAGAAGATGGATGGAAGTTCAAGAATAAAGAGACCGGTAGAATAGGCCTATTCTGTCCTGGGCCTCGAATGCCTGGCCAAGGTGTCTGAAGATGCTTCCTTGGCAGTGGTGAGTCAGAAAGGCTGTGGGGCAGGAGTGGGAACAGTGTGTAAGGACGATCATCCATTCACCTAGTCAACATGGGCCCATCAGGAACCCACTTCAAGTGCCAGTTTATACCCCTGACCTCTCTCTCCACCATTCCCTCTTCTGAAGAGGCTCTGAGTGAGGCTGAAGGCAGAAACCAATGAGACACAGTCCCAGGAGTCAAGGATGTCCTGCTCTAGCCCAGAACTTCTTAGACTTTTAATGTGTATCTGAATCCCCCCCCCCCCACCGAGTTTATTACAAACAGATTCTGATTCATTAAGTCTGGGGCGGGGCCTGAGAATCTGAATTTCTAACAAGCTCCCAGGTGATGCTGATCACTGGACCATGCTTGGAGTAATAAGAGTCTAACGTGTTTGCTCCCTTTCTAGTTTCATAGTTGTAATCCCAACAAGTAGCACAATGCCTGGTCCAAAGCCGGTGCTTCATAAAACATGTGTTAAATTGAAAAATCTTAATCACTTTTACTCCTGTTACCACTGAGTTTGATTAAGGAGACCACTCCCTCCCAACACACACACACACACACACACACACACACACACACACACACACCAGTGGCCATTTCGTCTTCTTTGGCACATCATCCCACAACCTAACTACTAGAATTCAACATCCCTTTTCCAACCTATCACACCGTCTTTTTTTTTTTTTTGCCGTACGCGGGCCTCTCACTGTTGTGGCCTCTCCCATTGTGGAGCACAGGCTCTGGACGCGCAGGCTCAGCGGCCATGGCTCACGGGCCCAGTCGCTCCGCGGCACGTGGGATCCTCCCAGACGGGGGCACGAACCCATGTCCCCTGCACCGGCAAGCGGACTCTCAACCACTGCACCACCAGGGAAGCCCCTATCACACTGTCTTTATGAATGACTTTAAACCCTCGGGCTCTTTTCTTTCTGTTACAAAAATGATGCATGTTTATTGGAAAAAACAGAGGAAAAATGAGCAAAAAGAAGAAGAAACTGCGACCCGATACACACCCTTTCTGATTCTGTGTGTGTTACAGAATGGAACATTCATTCCATTGGGATTTTAATTATCTTAAACTATGAAGGATAATTTCCCATGCCAAAAATATCATTTTAATGGTTACCTAACATTTCATTATTTTAAATTTTCATAAAGCACACGTTTCACTGATGTAAAATATCGTGACGTTAAAAAATAGGAAACAAGCTCCATACTGAATGACCAAATGAAGAATGTACAGACAAAATGTTACAATGCCTATGATTTGCTTTAAAATCATCCAGTGAGCGGGAAAGCAGGAGACAATGGAGCCAGATCAGGATGAGCCATATGTAGGTCATTGTTAAACTGGCCTGCATTATACAACCCTCTCACTTTTGCATGTGTTGGTAACTTCCCATAATAAAAGTTTTAAAATAAAAGCAAGGTCCAAATGAGGTCTAGGAACATGTACACGCTGTTATATTTAAAAAGGATAACCAACAAGGACCTGCTGTATAGCACAGGGAACTCTGCTCAATGTTATGTGGCAGCCTGGATGGGAGGGGAGCCTGGGGGAGAATGGATACACGCATGTGTATGGCTGAGTCACTGTGCCGCGCACCTGAAGCTATCACAACATTGTTAACTGGCTATACTCCAATAAAAAAGTTTTTTAAAAAAGTACGTAACTTCCATGATTTTTTTAGTCACTAAGATTTAAAACTCAAATTTATCTAGATTATTTGTATTAATTTTTTTAATACATCTTTATTGGAGTATAATTTCTTCACAATACCGTGTTAGTTTCCGTTGCACAACGAAGCGAATCAGCCACATGCATACACATGTCCCCATATCCCCTCCCTCTTGAGCCTCCCTCCCAGCCTCCCTATCCCACCCCTCTAGGTCATCGCAAAGCTCCGAGCCGATCTCCCTGTGCTATGCAGCTGCTTCCCACCAGCCAACTATTTTACATCCGGTAGTGTATATACGTCAGTGCTACTCTCACTTCGCCCCAGCTTCACCCTCCCACCCCATGTCATCAAGTCCTTTCTCTATATCTACCTCTTTATTCCTGCCCTGCAACTAGGTTCATCATTACATTTTTGTTTTTTTTTTTTTGATTCCATATATATGTGTTAGCATACGGTACTTGCCTCTTTCTGACTTACTTCACTCTGTATGACAGACTCTAGGTCCAGCCACCTCACTACAAATAACTCAATTTCGTTTCTTTTTATGGCTGAGTAATATTCCATTGTATATATGTGCCACATCTTCTTTATCCATTCATCTGTTGATGGACATTTAGGTTGCTTCCACGTCCTGGCTATTGTAAATAGTGCTGCAATGAACATTGCGGTGCATGACTCTTTTTGAATTATGGTTTTCTCCGGCTATATGCCCAGTAGTGGGATTGCAGGGTCATATGGTAGTTCTATTTTTAGTTTTTTAAGGAAACTCCATACTGTTTTCCATAGTGGTTATATCAATTTACATTCCCACCAACAGTGTAGGAGGGTTCCCTTTTTACCACACCCTTTCCAGCATTTATTGTTTCTAGCTCTTTTGATAATGGCCATTCTGACCGGCATGAGGTGATACCTCTTTGTAGTTTTCATTTGCATTTCTCTAATAATTAGTGACGGTGGAGCATCTTTTCATGTGCCTCTTGGCCATCTGTTTGTCTTCCTTGGTAGGTTAACTCACTGTTTGTTTTTTTGATATTGAGCTCCATGAGCTGTTTGTATATTTTGGAGATTAATCCTTTGTCTGCTGTTTCATTTGCAAATATTTTCTCCCATTCTGAGGGTTGTCTTTTTGTCTTG